AAAAAAAAAAAAAAAAAAAAAAAATCATGGTTGCCAATAATATACAAATAAATTCTAAAGAAAAATTAATATATTTTAATTTAAATTTTACCTTAATAGAACTATTTAATGTATCTGGTAATTATATCTTAAATGGTAAATTTATATTAATTTTAAGAATAATTTATTATATTATATATAGCGAATTAAAGTTTAAGAAAAAATTATATTGGAAAAGATTAATTCACCAACTTAATTTTGTCTGATTAACTGAAAGAACAAATTCTACATAACTTGTTACGATTTTCTATAAATATTTTAATAAAAATTCTACCTAACTTGTTACGATTTTTTATATATATTTTAATAAAATAAAGTATTTTTATTGTAAGTACTTTTATCACCAAACATTTATTTTGACTTGAACATTATTTTTCAATATTTTATATTAAGTAAAAAAAAGATGGTAGAAAACCATAATATATCTAGTAAATCCAAACATTTATATTGACTATATACAAGATGGGGGTTTGGTCTTAACCCCCTACCATTCTGGACTGTTTTTCTTTTTTTAAAAAAAAAAAAAAAATTAAAGAAAAATAGGTAAAGAGAGGATTCACGAGGCTCGTAAGGATTAACATACCGACCATTGAGCAAACTTGATGCTTTGGTATTATCATTACAAAATTATCACTACAAAACAGATTTTTTCTTCTTTGGTAGATGAAGAGAAGACACATACACGATACACCATGAATGGTTATTCACCCAACCCTAATGCAGCTAACTTATCATCAAACTACAACTTACAGGTATAAATACTAATAGAATGATCTAATGCGCAAGACATAGAAGAAGCATTTTTCGAGACTGTTCAATATCTGTTTGACATCTTCTAGGCGAAAGTGTTCAATTTTCAGAAGGTCTTCTTGACTTTTGAATAAAGGTTCAATAATGTATAGATATTGGACCTCTTGAGGCAATTATAGACTTAAGGAGACAATTCGGATTGATCAATAAAAATCAACTTCAGTGTATTTCTTTTCCTCAGTTTATCCAATTTATCGTGAAAAGTCAAAGGTGATAAAAGAACCCTGTCGTTTAAGTCCAGAATATTGGGAAACCGGCAAAATATGTAAGTACCCGAAGATATTGCAGCAAACATACAAAACATATGTCCGCTGTAAGGATATTAGTCATCAAAGTGGAGAATTCTAGATTAGGCAATACTCAAATCAAGGAGACATGAGATACAGTTCTAACTCACCTTGAACGGCCATTTATATAACAGAAATATAATGCACACTGACAAGATTCAGTGTAATTATAGATGTGCCTAAGGAAACTGAAGAAACTAAGAACAGCCCTCGTGCCAGGTATAATTTACGATGCTGCCAGGCTACCAACAGAAACCTCATTGAGTGTCCTATTTTGAGATAACCCAACTAAAATAGTGATCAAAGTCGACAAGTACGCAGAACCTTGTCTAGATTATCAGTATAAGGCAGAATAGCACAATAAAATTAAACTAGGCGAGTCATCACACACTATAAGATTCAGATTACTCTTAACCTGAGGCAGGATGCCAATACAACAGAAAAGACCATGTGGAGGCACATGGAACCAGCAGGTTCAGACGCAGAGGAAAATTACAAGATTCGAATAGGTCACTAAGTATTGGACAGGTTCAGATTAGTTGTAAAGAGATGATGGAAAGAAAATTACCTAGCTTAACAAACAGTGACATTGCAGAATGTGGCTCTATGCATAGATGATGAAGATGCAAACCCAGACAAAATCCTCGAGACATAACACCCAAGAGTCGATGATTAAATAGTACAAACACTATCAACATTTCTGAAATGCAATTTCAAAAGGGACAAACAATATGAGTCAATAATACTAAAAAGTGGAAAACACAGTTCATATAAGGCCAGCTATAGGATATCTATCATCAGTGAAAGTTTCAATACCCTATTACATAAAGTAATCCCTTAACCCAACTCCAAATCATAGTTCCAGATTCGATCCAAGTTCAAGAAAACATATTAGAAGACAGAGAAAACATATTGTTCAATCGTGCACCGGAAAGTCAAAGCATGCCAGAAACAAATTCCACAGTGAAACAAGTTCAAGAAAATAAAAACAATGGAAAACAATAGCATAAACAATATTTAACAAAAAGAACCAAGAATTAGTACCACTGCAACTGCCTCATCAACATTCACAACTTCTTGATTGACATCAAAATCAAACTCAAGGGGGAGCTAGTCCAGAATACTGCTATCAGTGCTATCCTGTTTAAAAAAAGAAAAAGCATTCAAGAGATAGAACTCAAAACATGAATCCCTAACCAACAATTTTCCTGAACCAATGAACAAAAAAGAAGCAGCCAATGCACTACTCCAGCCCCGGTCAGTCCCTATCGACATTTAAATCAAAGCTGAAACATTTACAACAATCATCAATTAGGTAAACATTTAAGAACTAACTCCTTGCTGGCCAAGTCAAAATCACCCTGCAGACCTATCAAAACATCGTCATCCCCCTCAAAAAACTCCACCCCGCTCTCAATCTCAAAGCCATTGGTCATTTCACCTCCAAACACAAAATCCAAACCCTCTTCACTGCTCTCAGTCACATTCGAATCTCCACTTTCACCAGATCCAAAAATCAAGTTAGCCTGATTTTCATCAATCTTCACTCCTCTGCCCATAAGCTTCTTCGAGTTCCATGGGACAGATTTTTCCCTCATCATTCTTCCCTCTTTCACACCCCTCTCCATGAGTGCAATCTCATTCTCTCTCGCAAGTCCTTCGCCATTGAAATCTTTCATTTCCCCATATTCACTAGCTTCGACTGCAAATTTCATCCTCTTTCCATGGCTGAGATCCTGAAACTCACTACATACTGTTTCATCACCTTCCCTTCCCACCATCACCTCATCAGAAACATCAATCACAGCCCCTTTTCCATTACTAGCAGCATTTTGATCCCCCACATTACAAGCTGGCCCTACCAGTGGCTCGAATGGGGACCACAACTTCTCCCCACCATCTCCACCACCCGAAATTCCCAACGGTATAAACCCGGCACACGTGTATTGACCCTTCTCCACCACGTCCGGCGGGGGGCCGGGCCCGCCAATAGCTACCGCGTGCAACACTCTTCTGCACTTCTCATTCGAACACCTCAAACAACAATCCTCATAAGCCCTCTCGAATTCGTAAACGTAATAACAGTAGGGGCAAATTGTCCAGAACGTATCAGCACTATTCCTCGACGAACAACCGCCGCCATCAGAAGCGGACAGGGTCTTCCTCAGCTCCTCGTCGAACCTTGCCTTCTCTTCAGGGTTTGACAAAACGGACCACGCTGTCAGAACCAGTTCCAGAGCCTCGTCCGCGAACGGGTATGAGTTCACACTGGGGTTCAGATTGGAGGCTAGGGTTCGGTACCGGTACCGAATCCGAGCGGCGTCGGGCTCGAAATGCGGGAGGCCGAGGACGGCGTAGTAGTTGTGTGGGGTCGGGGCGGCGAGGACGGTGGCCACGGCGAGGATAGAGGTAGGGGCAGGATGGGTCGGGTCGGAGTCGCGAGCGCGGAGGGCGTAGTTGCAGCAGTCGGCGAAACTGCGTTCGCGGAGGTAGTGGTCGGCGGCGCGAATGAGACGGTGGGTCGCTGGGCTGGTATCGGGCTGACCCGGTGGCCGTTGGTGATTACCCATTTTGTGGGGGAGAGGAAATACTTTTGTGAGTTGGGTTGGTGGACAAAAGTGGGCAATGTTGAGGATTTATATGCTTGCTTGGGCTGCAATTAATATGGGATGATACTCAACTTGATTTCATCGTCGTTTCGGGAACGTATTTAAAAGGTAATAAAGCAACAATATTCAAACAATTCATTACGTCCTCCCTATATATAATTTCGGAATGCGTTGATCCTACGTGGCTGCTTTCAAAAATTACTTGGCGAAGAATCATGCTTTATAATTAGGTTTGGACAAATAATATTGATATATTAATAATTAATAATCTAGATTCGAACATTCCATAAATATTATTTAGCTAACTTAGGTATTTTAGTATCACTTGTACTAATATAACCCTTTAATTCTTTGTAATTTTACATAGGCACCAATTGACTAATATATCCCTGACTTTTGATTTGTTTCCTTCAATTAGCTATTGAATTGTAAATGTATTTTCAAAGTTGATAACTTTTGTATTTCTTATCGGTTTTTACATATATAATATATCAAATTAATCATCTTTTGATGATTTTCAATTTAACATCCATATTGCATATATAAAATAAATAAATTGTATTTATCTTTATAATAATAAAAAATAATAATA